CGAACAAGTGCCTCTCAATCTTATTTTCTTTTTTTTTTATCGTGCCCGTAGAAGAGACTGTCGTGCACTCATTGCAGCAGGATGTTCGCTACTACAAGTGGCCTTCGCTCTCATTTAATAAACAAGCACAATATGGACAAGGTGAGCTGCATATCCCTTGTGGNCCATGAGCGCACGACTGGCTCGGTTGAAGCTTACCCCGCATACCTTGCATCGTCGTGCTAGTCGACCACATCCCTTGTGCGCTGTCAATTGCTCGGTGACGGCACAAATTGCTACTTTGACCCGGGGCAGTGCTCTTGTGCCTTCAAGTCTCGTGCCAACTGGGTCGAACATGCCCGTGACCACCATCAACTCGACATTCGCGTCAGCAAAGAGATTATGAGCGACGCCAACGCGCTCGCATCTTGGCTGGAGCAGCTGGAGCACGGAACGGGGTACTCCATGATTATGACGGGCAAGCGTACCTATCATTGCCGAGCGCACACCTCAAGCACACAACCGGGCATTAAATGCTATGCCTTTGTGAATTACCAGCAACTTGCTGATGGGCGAATTGAGGTCATATTCTTATCAAGCTTTCATCCTTGTCATTTCTGCTCAGCACCGCCGACATGATAATCTCATCACTTCAATTCTCCTCGCTCGATCTTGTTTAATCAGGTCACCCACATGTTGAAGCATTTTCACGAGCCTCGTCCCCGCCGGCACCGACTTACTAAAGGGTGTATTGAACTGATCAAGCAACTGTCTTCGATGGGAATGCACAACAACGCCATTCTGCTCAACGTGCGCAAGGCTGTCCAACCTTTGTCGCCTGACGCCTTCGTGAACAGCAAGGACATTCAGAACATTGCTGCAACCGTGCGAGAAGGTCGCCTCAGCGATCGAGATGTTGATTCTGTTTCGCAGCAAATCCTGTTGAACAACAGCGTCGCGTTCGATCGGCGCAGTATCATTGTACGTGTTGTCGATAGCCTGAGTTTCTTCACAACATTGCCCACTTCTTTTCATCAAAGAT